ACTGTTATTTATAGATATTTGAGATAAGTGCATAAATATAGAAACAAGACTAATTTTGACTTGATGTACATAATAAAATATTGTAAGCATTATAATTTTATAAACAAACTATTTGAGCTGTAACCATAAATACTTTTTAGTGTATCTATCCTCTTTTATCCCATTGGTAGAATATGGTATAAGGAATTCATCTTTGTCATTTTAATTTTAGATATTTATAATCTGAAATTTATTTTTAGAAACTACCTTAACTACAGTTAATTCTGTTTGATTTTTACTTAAATAAACAAATGATAACTAAAGCAGATCAAGTTGCCGATTTATCTTTAACATGATTCTATTTTCTGAAATCACCAGACAATGGTAAAGAAAACATTTTTTCCTTTGCAGGCAATGCTCTCATTAAATGTGGAGAAACACAAAAACGAATTGGAACCGCAGACAGAGAGCTGATTCAAACATCAGCCTTAAATTTTCTCACTCCTTTAAGAAACTTTATAGAAGGAGATTACAAAACAATTGCTGTGAGTTGAAAAGTGTTTCCTTTTTTTTTTTTTTAGTAAAATATTTAGATACATACTTACAGTTTTTAGTGAATAATTTGCCCTCTTCATGACCATGTAGATGTAGCAGATGAGAAAAGTTTGAAAATCAGTCTGGGTACATATTCAGCAGAACACAAAGCTAACCAAAATAAAGGACTATTGATGATATGGACTCCATTGTTGCTTCCCTGTAGTGTTATTGTTCATGACCAGCACTAAAATCTATCAAGAGTTTCCTGGAATGATTATAAAAATATGGTACAAAATATCACCATAGTATAGCCATGTAACTTCATTTAAACTCTAAGCCAGAAACCTGATTACTAGAAACTGTATTTCTGGCTATTAGATTTCTGTCTTTTGCATCCCTAGAAATCTATTATCTTCTTTTCACACAGCTATGTTTTATTGTTGAAGTATAAGAAATATTATAATTTTCCCAAACCTAATTTATTAGTCCGTTATTTTTTAGTTTAATTTGTTTCTTCAGTACTACTTCAAACTTTAATTTGCAGATTTCTTATTACAAAATTTTAAAGAAAATATGTTTACAATGATTTTGACTCTGTGTAAAAATATTGGGACTGAGACAGAGGAAAAACCACCAAGTTGAAATATGACTTAGAAGATACTAGATTGTCAATAGGATGAAATTTGACATATGAAATCTGTCCAAGAATGAATAAAGCAAACTGAATTCTTATGATCTTACCTGTTATATGGAAGCTTGAGGTTCTCATGAGGAATTCCAAGATACCATACTAATGTTTATTCATTATTTATTCTATAAATTTGAAATTCTATTTTGGACTGGTACAGTTATTTTCAGTTCTATAGCACATATGATCACATAGGGTATCAAGGTGCTTTATTTACCCTACGCCCATACCTCCTTCATCATAGGCACTTTCTGGATAAACTATTAGTTTTAAAAAGTTTCTCAGCCTGGGCACCACTGTCATTTTGGGCTGAGTAATTTTTTATTGTGGAAGCTGTACTGCACTGTAGGATGTTTAGCAGCATCTCTGGCTTCTACCCAGTGGATGTTAGTATCATCTCTTCCCCAATTATGACACCTAAGAAGATACTGCCAAATGTTCCCTGTGGGGCAAAAATCACAAAATATTAAAACTAATATTCCTTTGTTTCTTACGTCACCTTTATCTTTCTCAAATATCCAGATGTCTCTATCATTTTAAAATCGAAAACAGAAAAGGGAGCCAAATACCTGAATGGTTACTTTAAAGCCAATTTTGTAATTATAGATCTTTGTTTTATCAGATGATTCATATATTTACTGGAAAAATAATACTTTAAATAATGTGTATGCCCTTACTGGATTTTAACATCATTAACCTTTATATTTTTATTTCCTAAACTTACAGAAAGAAAGGAAACTATTACAAAATAAGAGACTGGATTTGGATGCTGCAAAAACCAGACTAAAAAAGGCAAAAGCTGCAGAAACTAGAGCTTCAGTAAGTAGTGTTTTTTAATAGAAAAACATTTTAGGTTAATACCTTCTAGATTTGTAAAATGTTTTACTCATATACCATGCAAGCTACAGTCTGTCATTAAGACTAGAATATGACTTTATTGTTTTTGTGTTTTTAAACAAACTTGTCAGAACTTAATACATCCAAATTCAGTGCAAAGTAGTCATATCTAGAGGCAGTATTCTTATTTCAGTGATATACCTGTTGCTAAAGAAAAATTATAAGCTTAAGCTCTGTCATCTTCTTTAAATGGTGGTGTTGGCAAATATGCCTTTTGAAGATAGATTCATTATATTCAGAATAGAAAAACAAATAGTAATTAAGGTGAGAATGAACTAAGTTTGAGAATGCTTGTGTGTGGCTTAAAAATTAGGTGTGACTTTCGACATGTGACTCAAACTGACTAAAAGAATTGTCACTTAGAATAAAAGTGGCAGCATGGACTGACAGGTGGCTATTTTGAAGGAGAGGAAACCCTTTTGGATAAATAAGTTTTATATTTTTCATAAAATCAACCTCAAAATAGTCTTTAAAACTGAGTGGGTATATATTAAAAATAGTAATTCAGTGATTTTTTATATATATTTATATACACATATATATGTATAACTTTGTTAAAAGGTTTTATTTATAAGCTTATTTAATACTTTCACAGTTTATATATTTATTGCAAAGCTTCAAGAGATTAATCAGATTTGAATTGGAACACCTTTAAGACTACAATGTAAACAAGTCTGAATTTATTAGAGAAAGCTAATAAGCTAGTTCTTAATTTGAGCTAAGATGTATGTTTTGTTAAAAGGCATGACATTCCCACTGCCTTCTTTTCCCAATTTACTGCCACTACTACCATCAAGAATCATTTCCTTAAAGGAGTGTATTCCCACAGTGCTGGCAGAAATCTATTGTTCTCTTGTTTCGGGAAAGAAAAGGTCAAGACTTGGTTTTGAATAAATTCAAAACTGGTAACTTGGTGTTGGCCAGTGATATTTTATGAGATTACCCCGATAGTTTATATGAGCAAAATAAATTATTTTCTTCTAGATGGTTCTTCTTTTGTAGATTCTGTATTAGCTCCTGCAGGAAAAGAGCTGCCTTTGACAAGGCATTAATTTCAACTTCACTATCTGTTTCACCTCAGAATTTATCATGACATCATCAAGAACAGCCTAACTTCCTGACACAGGCTCTTTGTAGAATCAGAACTTTAAGAATGAACACTGGAGATGGCAAGAAACTCAAGATATTCGTTTCTAGTTGCTAATAATAAATTTATTTAGTAAAATATAAACTGGTTTTTAAGACACTAATTTCATAATTAGGAAAAGGTGTTGATAAATAAGGATTATTTGGAAAGAAATGTTGAACTGGAACAGAATCTCTTTATTCAAAATGTCTGCATGTGCCCAGTGATGATCGTGGAATAAGAATACTGTTGTCAACTGTCAGTGCAAAACTTCCTTTAAGAAGCACTTTATTATAGGATAATGATAGTCTACTTTTTTACCTGGAAGAATGCCAGAAAGTTCATAGATTTAACAGTATACAAGATCATTTGATTATTCTAAATTGTTTTACCACTGCTATTAAAGTATATAAGAACTAAATATAATAGCCGGATTTTGAGAGATGTTGCCTTTTGATACATCCATAGAAGATCTTGACAGTTTTTCTGTTCTGTATATTGTGGTGGACAAAAAATTTTTTCCATGAGAATTTACATTTAATTTACATTTAAAATAAAAATGAAAGATTATACAAATGACTTTATTCAACAACCTCATTTATATACACAGCTTTTCTAGGATTTGTATATTGCATAAAACAAATGAGCCAAATATTAAATATGTTAGTCTAGACAAAAATTTACATTTCCTGATTTTAGTTGTGTTCTTTCTCCCTAGATAACCAACTTGTTTTTCTTCAGACTTCATGGTAGTAAGTCTGAAATACTTTGGAAAGGAAAAGTCCTTTCAGTTTGTTACTACATAAAGCCTTGAGCCATGCCTATATTTTGTGATTTTTTTCCCTTGTATTTCTCTTCCATTTATTTAAAGAAAACAAAAATAGAAAACACTGGGAATTTTGATTTGCCTTTTTTTTTTTCCTTTGACACATTTCCTGGTTCCTAAAGAGGTTACTTTAACCTCAGACTTTCTTTGGTTTCACTTATTTATAATTTCCATAGATCGTTTTGTGACTAGTTGTTCCTTTGCAAGTAGTTTGGGACCTGTGCATATCATCACTTTTTTAAAAATTTGTTTACTAATTTTTTTGTGATCTCTTTTTAAATTCTCTATTTATTGAATGCTGATTTTGTACAAGGTGCTTTGCTGAGGAGATCATAGATAAATAATGCAAAATCTCTGCTGCCCGTAGATCACAATCTTCAATAGTGGATTGAATGTTTTGATGATTTAGTCCTATCAGTAAAATATTTTGGCCTGTATCCAATAATGCTACTTTACTATCCTATTTTATTAGTTAGCATTAGTAACTAATGGTTACTAACTACTAATGAAGAATGGTAAAACAATATCAAAAGCATTTCTCAAATTACCAATTGAGCAGAAAAGAGAAGCCTACTTGAATGTTTCACAATGAACAAAAATAGTTTTGAAAATAGGATAAAACTTATATCAGGAAAGCAAAAACAAATATAACTTCTACATTTAAATTTTAAGGCACTGACATTTATTAACCTAATCTTAGTCTTATATAAACTTAAAGAAAATTATTTTAGAGTTTTGTTAATGGGAAGAAAAAAAATCATCTGGTTTCAAAGCTCTCTAATATTTAGAAGTTTAGACCTCTATTACTTTTGGGTATCTATATATAATGGAAAATACACGTTCAAGTATATTTTCATACTTGACATAGCTAATAGGTCCCTCTGTCCACTTACACATTTCCACAGTACTCTAAATCTTTAATTTGTAAAACCCCTGAATTTATAGCACCATCATGTAACCTTAACTTAAAGGTACACATATTAGAATTTAAAGTTTATTAAAAATATGAGGATTGACATGCCTTTTATATTTCTTCAGGCTATGCCAAGACCTAGCTAGGCTGATTGAAAGAGAACATGGTTGAAGGCATCATACATTCATAAAATAGAAAAGATCTTTGAATAGGAAAGCTGTGGGTAGGCAGAGGGCTTTCATAGATGAAAATTTAATAAAAGTTGTAAATAATGGTGGCAGTTTTTAAAATGATACATTATCCCTAAATTATTCTAATTTAAAATCAAACATCAACCATGTTTTTCGTCTTTGAAAATTTGAGTCTTTCAGAAAAATTAAATAGACACCACTATATGAAATTCCATAGAACAGTTTAGTTGGTTTTTTAAAATAGAAAATCATTTTATCACTGTTTTATACCTGTTTATGTGTTCTTTATTGTGAGGAAGTAACTTGTTTCACTGTTCACTGGTATAATGTGTTCTTTGTCTCTTACCTATGTACTTAAGCAACTAAATTCAGCTCGCCTTGAAGGAGATAACAATATGGTAAATTTCTCTTACATGCTCAACTTCCTGCATGTAAAATGGCTGAAGGTTTGTTGGCCTACTGTGTTTTCTACATCTTGAATAAAATGCCTTCTCTTGCTATTATCTGCATGTAAAGGTCTAAAATATTTGAAGCCATGCATTCATTAATCTAACAAAAATATAAGGAATACTAGCAGAAGTTATATTGGAACTTGAACAGAAATTGTATGTTCTAATTGCCAAATATATTAGCTATACCAAATTCAGGTTTTAGAATGTGAATTTATACATAAATATATTGTGCCTTTCACACCCAGTAAAAAATGTTAACTTAGCTGGCACTTTATATTTTCACTGTTGGCAAAGAAAATGAACAAAATTTACTTAACTTAGAGAAAGGTATATGGTATACAGATTTATTTTGCTTCTCAGTACCTTCAATGTTTCCTTAATTTTCACCCAAACTCAACATGGAGTTAATTTTTCTGCAATTTCAGACCAAGGCAAACCACAGTAGTTTAAGTATTTCTGTAATGGGAAGGCCCATTCCTCATACAATGCTAATTCACTTAAGAAAATTGCAGAATAGTGATAGCCTTGGGCAAGAGTTGAGAGTGAAAGTTGTTACATAGCATCCAATGTATATATTGAGCTTAATTTGAGGAAATTTCGGAAATGTTAAGAATTTTAATTTTTTAACAAAATAAATAGAAATTTGTAAAATCTGAACATAGCCCAAAAACTTATATAAAGTTAGCCAATAAAGATTTATAGAGTGTTTGGTATTATACTCCTAGATATATTATATCCATAAAAGTGGCATGGCACCAGCAGTACAGTTAATAATAAAAATTGGCAGTAAATTGCTTTTATTCCATTATCACTGAACTAAAAGCGGAGGGGTGGGGAGAGAATCTGTGAACCCCTGGCTTAATTAGAGCTTTTCTTAGATAGCAAGAGAATGCATTCCTTTACTTCCATTGTCCTATCTTTAGGTATATGAAAAGTGTGAGACTATTTTAGTCTTGATAATTTAGTGTATAAATTATAGGTTTTTTTTAATCTTAAGAAAAATATTCTAAACAATTAGCAAGAGTGTTTCATTTATTAGGCATTTGTTTTACTACAATATCATCTACTTATAGTAAGATGTATTTAAGTCTGATCATTTTAAATTCATTATATCTCCAGTGTATTGTGCCCATCCCCCAATGGCTATATCAATGTTCAGTGTTCATTTATCCTTCCTTTATTTTAATTTTCTAAAATTCTAGAATTTTAGACCTAAATGAGAAAGTGGAAATCGTTTAGTCCAAACCTATCATTTTAAAAATGGGAAAGCTAGAATTAAGAGGGGTTAAATATTCCCAGTTTCAGAAAACTTCTTATTAATTTATAGAATTAATAAAAGATTCAAAAATTGATAATGATACATGTGAAGGCATACTTTAACAGTATATTAAGCTACACTAATTTAGTTACTATATTTAATCTGTTAATATGATTCTGGAAAAGGAGTATGCCATTTGAATTAAAATATTTACATTTTTCTGTACTAAGTTGTAGAAAATGTTAAATTCCAACTTTCTTTCATCCTCTATATTTTTCTCTAATTTTTAATGCTGGCTAGATTTGGGCAGTGGAAGTGACAAAAGTAAGTAAATTATTAAACTACAGAATTATGAAACAAGAATTTAATTATTGGTTCAGTAAATATTGGGCAACAACCATGGTGCTAGTCACAGTCTTTGTTACTAAATCTTATAAAATCTGAAAATGATTATGGAATGCTTACATCCATTTGGTTAGTAGTAGCTCCACAGAGCAGTAGAACAATGCTGCAGAGATGTGGTTTGGACACTCTCTTGATACCTTTTATATTACATGGTAATCTTTACAATGCCTTGCCAGAGGACAATTTAAATATTTGATTTATTCATATGACAGTAAAACATAGGTAACATGTTCTCTATCTTCAGAGAATTGAATATATCATATATCACACAATGAATTTTCTAGGTAACTGAAGGGTGTTCTTTCCAGCACCCAAACTAATTTTTCTGTCACTTTAGTTGAAAATATTTATTTAAAAGTATTTTGCTACTGCATTAAATACAGGATAGCATATATTTAGTTTTACTTATAGATAACGTCTTTATTATGAATATCCATTACTACACTGTGTATCAGTTGGATCTCTTGTTTGTTTTTGAAGTATGTTGTCTTCTCTCTCAATGTCAGACTGTCACTTTTAGAAGCTGTCCTTATGACCACTATTAGATGTCCCTCTACCTGTGTTACTAGTTCTAATCTTTCTAGGCTGGGAAATCAAATAACTAAGCAGTAATTTAATAAATAACATTATGACTTCAATGCAGATTTGTTTCAAATGTTCTTTGAGGTCTTCAGAAGCATTTTTCATTTCCTCCTTATGTTCAGGCCTACCAAAATCTAACCTTTAGATGAGGACAGTGCTGGGATCGAGGGCAGATGGTAATTGTGGCCCTTGACTATTAATAATTTTACAAACTTTAACTTTTTATTTTCTAACTTTGTAGGATTGGTGACTATATAGTCTGTTTCATGCATAGGTTATGGAGTTATTGATTCTATGACTTGGAAATCCAGTGTGAAATTCTTGCCTTATGCTCTCATGCCCCTTTGTGGAATCCATTCATCAACTTAGTTATAGTTCCACTCCAGCCTCTGATTTCTCTTGAACCTCTAACGTGAAAAGGTAGCAGAGTAACATAGAAGAGAATATAGGTTAAAGAAGAAAAATAGGTCTCTTCCACTTTGATTAGCATGCAAGTACACCAAAAAACCTCTGATTTGATTCTGCAGTTTCAACAGATTTGGGAAATATTTGATATAATGGGAAGAAACTCATGAAACAAATATTTATATATGAGAAAAACTTAAGAAAATATACCAAAATGAATTTGGGCAGTCTTCTATAATTCTCACTTCTGTCATTTTTGTAATTTAAAAATGTTTAATTTAAAAGCTTTATATTCCTGGATTATTTTAAGATTTATGCCTGTAGAAAAAGTAACACTGACCAAGTTTGTCAGAGCAAATGCATGACCTAAATTTCTAGCTTATAGTTACCCACTCCTGATATTGTGACCAACAAATTCTTGCCCTTTTTCCAAGTTACATCCTAAAAGAACTCTTCTTGATTTCCTAATCCAAGTTATACTGTCATATATACTCTAGATCTGTTAGCCCAGTAACAGTAATTCTAAGGAGTAGGTCTTTTCCTTAGAATTCTACCTCTTAATTGTAAAATTAAGTCCAGGAATGAGATCTTCTGCAGGACAGAATAAAAACCCTTTAAATTTATTATTTTTCTTTAAACCTTTTTTACCTATCTAATATGGATCATTATCTTCCTAAGTAAATTGATTATGCTAAACCTTATTTCTGTTAGCCTCAGCCTCTCAAATTAATTATTAAGATCAGTTTTATGTGTCAGAAGTAGAAATGGTTTGGGACTTTTAACTGTTTGCAACCACCTAAGACATACACTGAAACTTATTCAAAAATGCGATTTGTTTCCTTCCTGTCATTTTTCTTTTCTAAATATAAAGTCTAGATTTTACAGAAGAATGACTTCCTAGGATTTGTAATATGGTGCCTTTCTTCACAAATAATTTAATTTTGCTCAGAGAAGACTTCTCCTTAATAAGATCATTTTATTTTTTTTTTTATATTTTTTTATTCAATGTTTTAGTCTTAAAACATTATTCCCACTTCAGATTCAAGCTTCCGAGTCACTTTTAATGTTACTTAACTTACTTGCTTACACCTTATACAGAAATATTGCCACTTAGTAGACTTTTCTGCCGTTTCTACTAACAGCTATTAAATCAAGTTGTACTATCAAAGATCTACTCGTAACTAGCCTCTTTTACTTCTGAAGTTCATTTTTGATTTGCTATGGTTACTTCTATTAAAACATTTTTGTATTCAACCAAGTAGAACAATAAATAGTGCAGATGTAACACTGAAGTGATTGGTTGTCCTTAACATTTTCCTTAGAAAAAACATTGATTCTTTTCTTCTCCCATGACTTTTTTACATTCTATGCTAACTTCCAGATGATGCTTACTTCAGCCCTATTATCAAAGCACCATATAGTCTGGTTTCAGTCAAGTAAATTTAATGTTAATTCTTGACTTATTGAGTAATTCAAGGTTATTTCCATAAATCCAACCTAGTAGACAATTCTTAGTCTCTTCTGCCAAATCTTTTGCCAGTGAGATGAGAATATAGCAACTGATTATTTTGCTGCTATATCCCTGTTGACTGGTTCACCATTTTAACTAGTGCCATCAGGGTTGAAGGAGACAGAAATGGGATGTGAAGGAAAGAGTTCAGACCTTGTTTTTATACTTACTACGGTCTTGAAAATATTATAATTATTCAATTTGAGAAGAGAAGCTGTTTATTCTGGAGAGGTAGTAGAAAATATCGTTATAACGATATTATTACCAATGGTGATTCCTGATGAAAGAGAAAGCTGATTATGTTGAGTGAGCTGTCAGATTTTATATTTTCCTTCTCACTTACTATCAGCCAACTCTTGTAAGAGTTTGAGAAGATGATTTTTGCCAGTGTTTACTATTTTTAGATCATGTTGATTTTTTAAATGAACTGTTTTGTCCCAGCACTAAATCTGTGATCAGATACTTGAAGCTAGTAGTGGTGTGCTATCGTACACACCTCTTTCCAGCTCCAAGGTCTTCACCACGGTAGCTTGAAATCAACTGTGGTAGCAGTACTTACACCATGAAAAGCAACACTTTCTTGCTTTTTTTTTTTTCCTGTAGAGCTGGTTTACCAGCACAACAGTGATTAAAGGTCACCCATAACTTGCAGAAAAACCCTAGCATATTTTACAGGTAATATTTCTGCTTAAAGCATATTTTATGTAAAGTTCAGAAAGAAAACTAAAAAGAAAAACATTTATATAGGACAAAGAATCCTTCGAAGGAACTTATGAGCAGTGTACCTAGAAACAAGTATATGTTTGGTGACTAAACACAAGAGGTCAAAATCTTGTGGTTTCATTCTGACATGTTTCATTTGCGATTAAAGACTATCTTTAACTTCAAAGTAAAGTGACTATGGTAATAACTGAGAATTTTTTGAAATATTTTATACATGTAAATGGTAATTTTAAAGTTTTATAAAATGATAAAATATAGCAAAACTGATACTTGGAAATATATTGACTATCCCATAGTTTTTCCTAGGCTTTCATGTGTATGTCATTAAGCTTTGGCATTAATAGATTTTTTTGAGTCAAGTACTGGTAAGGAATCAATTCTTTCTAGATTGAGTAATATAGAAAAACTAAAGTCTAGAAACCAAGGACCAGTTTAGATACAAAGCAGAATCAGGGAATTGCCAGATTATCATTTGGGGTTAGGGGAATTTTTCAGTGGTCTAAACGAATGTACATAAAATGGATTTAAGTCCCTTAATGAGATTCTAAAATTGTGTTCTAATTAAGTCTGAACAGGAATTAAGAATAACTCAAAGTGAATTTGATCGTCAGGCAGAGATTACCAGACTTCTACTAGAGGGAATCAGCAGTACACACGTGAGTGTTCATTCTTTGGAAATTCATCTGGAACAAAAGACTTTTATGGTCTTAAGGCAATTTGAGGAGGAAAAACTGAACTTCCTTTTTAGTCATTTATCAGAGAAATTTAAATTGTGGTGCTTTCCCAGATAGATGAAGAAATATTTTAAATTTTTGTTTATACCTCATCACCTAGTTCTCCCACCATCATCAAACAGTCGTTGGTTTTTGCTGGCTAAACAGTTTGTTATTACACTATTGACTGAGGTCAATCTTAATAAACCTTGTAGTAAAATGCTAGATACTAGTGATTCTCCCTGAGTACAGTGTTGTATTTTGTATTCCCTTAGTGTTTGCCATTTTAAATAAATTACAGAACTAAGAAATGACTGTAACTTTTCCTTTACAGGCCCATCACCTCCGATGTCTGAATGACTTCGTAGAAGCCCAGATGACTTACTATGCACAGTGTTACCAGTACATGTTAGACCTCCAGAAACAACTGGGAAGGTGGTAATTTCCTTTTCACACATGAAATTCCTGATAAGAAAAGAAATTCAGATTTTTTGCATATGAACTAATAATAGAAGTAAAGATTAGAAGAATTAAAGGCTTTTATTAGCTTGCTTAAAATCAGATTTTTCTTTTTAAGGAGAGTAATTATCATACTCTTGAGGTTACAGAAACATTTTGAGCTCTTCTGGCACAGAAGAATGTTAACAGGGATGAGAAGATAATTTAAGTGAATACCTCTTTAGTGCTATATAAAGAAAGCTTTAAAAGTGTTTAAAATTCACTTTTCTCTTGAATAGTTTTGCAATTGGTTGAAGAAGATAGTTACATTGACACTTAGTTGCCCTTAGAGGTCAACTAATTTGTTCTTATTCATTACTTGTTCACTGTTTTTAAAAAGGTTTTAAAATACCTGTAAGTCTTCAAGCTCATTGATGTTATTGAGTGTGGTAATACACTTTAACACAAAATAATAGAACGTAAAGCATAGAACTCATTCATTCAGATATTTATTGAACACCTATATAATAATCATTCAGTATTTAAAATTCACATATTATTGAATTGTTCTATACTCTCAGATTATATCAGCAAATAAAACAGGCAAAATTGCTTGTCCTTATGAGCTCCTTATTTGTCAAGTGACACTGGAAATAAAATGATGTACAGGACAAACTTGGTCTCTGCTCTCACGACACTTAAAATCTAAGTAGAAACACAGAACCTAAGTGGACAGGCCATGTGATAAGTGATAAGGTAGAAGTGCAGGTGATTGTGAGGGACATCTAACTGTGACTCAGGTGGGTCTAGCAAAGTTTCACAGATGAAATTATTTTAGTAGGAATAATCTAGATGAAGAAAGGGGCAGGGATGAATATTCAGGCAAAGGAAGAACATTTATATAAAGGGCCAGAGGAAAGCGGGAGTGTGGCAAGTTTAGGGAACTGACAGTAGTTCAGTCTGGTTGGAGCATTGGTGTTCAAGTTAAAAATGGGATGGTAGAAGAGGCTAGAAGAGTGAAGCAGGGTCATGTCATGGATGCCCTTTAAAGTCATGGTAAGGAGTTTGCAGTTTATATAGTGAGGCACTATTAAAGCAGAGGAATGATGTGTAACATTTTAAGGAGGCATATCAAGAGAAGTTGTTTCAAGGAATAAGGAAAAAAAAAATATCTCACCACTTTGGCGTTCCTTTCTGCATATTAATGTTTTAAAAGTAAACCTAGAACAAAATTAGGCACATTCACAAAACCAGTTTTAGACCTTAAAGATAGCCTAATACCATTATTCTAGTAAGATTTATACTACTGTATTTTTGAAGTTTTATTAGTGGTAATAATATCTGAAAGCAGAACATCACTTAATCACCACATCATTACAACTATTTTAAGTCCAAGAAGCCTTAGTACTTCCTTTTCACTTTGTCCTAATACTCTGGGAATGTAGCAGAGGAGTTGCTATTACTACCATTCCTACTTGAATTCTGCTTACAGCTACATAAATGCTTGAAACTCAGCCATTCAATAAAAACTAGTTACTGCTACACTTTAGGATAAGCTCAAATATTACACAGTGAAACCAGTGGTATTATACTAGGGAAGAAAGTCTAGCTTGTCTCTGCCCTCAAAAAATTATATCACTGTAATGACCAATGATAGAGAAAGTAGGGGAAATTTTAGGCCTTTAATTTATTTCGGGTTATGCTTTTTAAAACAGTATAGAAATATTCAAATGCAGAACTTGAAAATTATCCAGATCCACACTAACAAATTCAAGAGCTGTTTCTGAGGAATAGAACCAGGTTGTAATGTGAATGGTTGTAATAGCGGTTTTGGTAGCAATAGTAACTGAACAACAGCGGTCACTGAAGAAGAGCTTCAGGGTCCCCAGGCACTCTTCTCACACCTCATATGTAATAATGTTATAATCCTCACACCAGTGAGGTAGGTACTATTATTATCCATATTTTATAGATGAGGAAACAGAAGCACTAGTCACAAGATTAGTAAATGTATTTTATTTTTAAATAATTGGGAAGTTTTAACATATCAAGTTACAGTGGTAGGAAATCTACAGGTTTTTAAATGTGTCTGTGAAAGGTCTTAGAAGGTGAAAATGGCCTTTTGGGTTTTTTGGTTTGTTAGTATTTTTTTGTTTTGCTTTTCTTTGTACCAGTAATTCCTCCAAATTTACAAAAGTATATCTTAGTGGCAAAACGAAGGCTAAATATGCTAGTAAATCTGAAAGTAAAATTATGTGGTTAGAAACTTTAAAAACTACATATGTGGAGAGAGAGGGCTTTTTTTATCTTCAGAAATGTATATATTTAATTACTGCGGAGGACTGAGTTCATTGAGAAAGGGATACTAGGAAATGTGTTCTTAACTTTAGAGTGAAACCTGAATTAGAAATTCATTCTTTTTATTAGAACCCTTTTAATCCATCAGAGAAACATTTGCTTTTAATTTTTAAAATGTACAATTCTAGGCATAAGGGATACCACGGAAACAAAACAGACACATCTTTGCCTTCATGGAACCTACATTCTTTTTAGGGTAAAGGGGAGTAGAAAATCAGTATGTATGTAAATTATGAAGTATATTAGAAGGTGATAAATGCTATGGAGAAAAAACAGTAAATACCTTGGTTAGAGGTAGAGGTTTGCAGTAAGGAAGACAAAGCATGAGGTATCTGAGAGAAGATGTTCCAGGAGACGGGACAGCAGATACAAGAACCCTGAAGCCAGGAAGGAACACAGCTGTTATATTCAAGCATCAGCAAGGAGAGTTTGCTTGGAGATGAATTGAGGAGACAGAGCTAGAACACATAAGTGCTTGGGAGGGAACTGTTTGGACTTTGGCCTTTACTCAGAGATGGAGGGTTTCGAACTGAGAAGTGACATGATTTGATTTTAGCCTTTAACAGGATCATTCTTGCTGTGCTCTGTTGAGGATCAGTGTTAGAGGATATGTGTGGAAGCTGAAAGACCTGTGTGGAACCCATTGGAATAATTTAGTCACTCAGGAGACGATGGTGGCTTGGGTCAGGGTGATTGTGGTAGATGTGGTGGAAGTGTTAAAACTCGGTGTATTTTAAGGGTAAAGTGGTAGGATTTGTTCACAGACTTTATATGAGGCTTAGAGGAGTCAAGATACTGCAAGTGTTTGGTTTGAACAACTAAAAGAATGGACTTATGGTTTATTAAAATAGGGAATGCCATGGAGGAGTAGGCTTGGAAGGGCACATCATATATATCAGAAGCCCAGTTGTAGACATGTTAAGTTTGAAATGTCTATTAAATATAAACATCTAACTGGAGCTATCCAATTTTATGATATGCAGGTCTGGAATTTGGGGGGTGAGTTAAAGATGTAACTTAGAGTCATCAGCATATCAAGGATATTTAAATCTGTAAGACTAGTTCAAATCACCAAGGAAGTAAGTACAGGTAGAGAAAAGAGGACTGAGGGCTGAGCCCTAAAGTACTCCAACACAGAGAGCTGAGGAATCAGCTAAGGAGGATGCTAAGTAATGAGCAGTGAGGTAAGATATAAACTATGTGTGGCCTGGAAGTCAAATGAAGAAGATGTAGGAAAGTGGAGGGGAGTGACCCACTGTGATCACTAGATAGGTCAAATGAAATAAAGACTGTTAATGAACCATTGGATTTAGAACAATGAAGTCATCGATGACCTTGACAAAAGTAGTTTTGTTGGAACAGTAGGGGCAAAAGTTGTTTGTATTGTAAGAGAATGGAAGGAGAGGAGCTGTGAAGGTAAGTTTAGGTAAGCCTTTCAAAGAGTTCCAGTTTAAAGAGGAACAGAAAGGTGGAGCAGTGGCCAGAAGAGAAAGTAGGGTCTAGCAGAATTTTGTTTGTTTTTTTAAGATAAGAGAATAAGAGCATTTTGTAAGCAGCTGAAAATGATAGAGTAAATGAAGAAAATGTGGGAAAAGGAAGAATTGCTAGTGTTGATATCCTTAAAAGGAGAAAGACGATGGGATTTTGTGTACAGGTGAAGAAACTAGCCTTAGGAATATAGACAGTTCATCTGTAGTAAGAGGAGAAATGACCAAAAGTATGGAAGTTTCCTAATTGTCTTTTTTTTTTCCTCAGTTAAAAAGGAAGCATTTTATCAGCTGAGTGTAAAGGTAGGGGACAAGTGTTGGAATTTTGAGATTGGATGAAAGGGTAAATTGTAATTAGGAGAATGGAAAGTGAATGGACTGGAGAAATGTGTTATTTCCAGGCAGCATTACAGACCCACTTGAGGTTCCTACTCATAAATTGAGTGTTAGACCAGACAACATGGTTTTGTATTTTCCTCTCTCACAGTTGATATGTGGATACTGAGTAGGTAAATAGGGAGATTTTTACCAAATGAGTACAATGAAGTAAGGGGCATAGGCGATGATGGCAAATGCGGGATGGGGGTGGGGGGTGATTATAATTAACCATAGATGTGATGGATGTGTTGGTGGGATCATTGGTGTTAGGTCTGTGGTAGGACCATAGATCCACTTGTTTCAGTAAGAGTACTTTAAAAAAAAAAAAAGGTGGTTGGAGAATGAATGAGATATTGGAAGTTATGATTATTGGTAGGGTTATAGTTAGAATTGATAAAGTCTACATGAGGCGGTGAGAATGAGTAGCTGAACTAGGGTCGGGCACAGGATCACTGGAAGAGAAGAATTCATTGATCTGAGAGGCCTAAGTATTAGAAGAATTTTATCTATATGGATATTAAAACTTCAAGAATTAAGATATAATGTCAGTGAGCTAGGAGCTACAATCTTCTGTAAACAAAGGGAAGGGAATAAGGCCTCTGTAGATAATTGCAGTAGGAGATAGTGGGTAGCATATAGTTGAATAACATGAAATTCAAAGAATGCGAAGGATTGGTTAGGGAGAAAAGTGTAGAAATGGTAACAAAGAACGTACAACTCCTATTCTGCCCATCTCTAGGCTCAGTGGTTTAAAGGAGTATGGGAGATAAAAAACCAAGCATCAGGGGCTATAGAGAAGATTTAGAGAAGTTAGAGGTGAAGGAGATTTGTTCCTGGCCAACTGTGATTTCCAGATGTCACATGGTCATAAAGGGAAGAAGGAAATTCTGTTCTATGGAGGCATGAATTTCACCCACCCTACCAGATGAGGCCTGTTGCATATTAACTTCTTGGATTTGTTAATATTTAAATATGAATTTTCATTAGAAATAGTTGGATTAGAATTGATTATAGGCCAACTGTTTTCTGCTGTTTTTCATTTAGTGTTCTTGGAGAAACAGTAACCTTACAATAAATTGAAAATTGTGATTGTTCTTAAAATATTTGTAAGCACATTAATCACAGGGATTTCACTAATTTCTAATAAAACTATTGTCTTTTTTCCTAAAAAATAGAAGACAAAATGAACTTATACAATTTACTCTTTTCTCCTATTGAGTCTTCATTATAATTATCAGTCATATTATTTGAATATCCATCTCCTCATTTGTCTATATGTCCATAAAGGAAGGGTATCTTTTTATTTTTGTCTCTGAGCTTGTGGTGGTGATGCCAGACATGTAGATACTCAATAAATATTTGTCATTTTAACAAATAAGAAAATGTGATTGGATTGGATTTATAAAAAGGATAGTTCAGTTATTCAAATATTTCTCGAAAGAATTAAATTGAGAAAACTTTACTCTTGTGGTAGTATCCAATATTTAAGTAATTTTCACTGATGCTTTCATTTAATGATTTATAAAAAGAAAAATATTAATAAAACAAATAGAAGCTTTTTGGAAGTATTTTAAGGATGAACTCAATTTTTTTGGAAAAAAAATAATTCTGTTGTTTTAAAACTTTTAATTTTATAATTGTAAAGACAACTTTGAAACAAACTTTCAAAAATTTATATTTGAAAGCTGCCTGAATTTTTTCTAGTATATTTGGCCCAGTAGGAATAAACTAAACAGCACACTTTGTCATTAAAATACTAACATCTGTAAATTTTTAGCCAAAGTGGCAATTGGTAGAAAGTAAACACTGCCACCAGGTGGTGATAGTTAGGAACTTTGGTCACTTGGAAATAAACAGCCTATTTCTTTTCAACAGTTTTCCATCCAATTATCATTGTAACAACAATCAGACTTCCGTGGCACCTGTACCATCTGCTTCATCAAATGTGATTGGTTCTTCTGCCTTGACTTCAACAAGTGGCCTAGTAATGACCTCTCCTTCCAACCTTATTGACCTTAAGGAGTGCAGTGGCAGCAGGAAGGCCAGGGTTTTGTATGATTATGATGCTGCAAACAGTAGTGAATTATCACTTCTGGCAGATGAGGTGAGTAATATGAGTATAAGAAGAAAATTACATCATAGATTGACATACCTTCTAATAGTATAACAAAATGAAAATTCTTCATTATTTATTTGGAAATAATTTATATGAATGCTTTCATAGATTTCAGATGGTTGTATTAATGTTTTTTAGAATTTTAATTACACAAAATAGAACGTCACAGAACTATTTAAAGTTTTTAACTATTAAGTAACTGGGAGATTTCTAAAAATGCCTCTAAAAAAAGTCTTTTTTAACTTTCAGTAAAATCAAAGACATTTAGAGTCCTTTGATAGTGAATAGTTCAAACAAATTAAATAGAAATCTGATTATTTTCTCTGTGTGTTTATTTTTTTTAACATAGTAACTGAAAATATTTTATTTTATAGGTGATCACTGTGTTCAGTGTCGTTGGAATGGATTCAGACTGGCTAATGGGGGAAAGGGGAAATCAGAAGGGCAGAGTGCCAATTACTTACTTAGAACTGCTCAATTAAATAGGTGGACTATGGAAAGATTATCCATCATTACACCGTATTTATATACAATTAACTCTAAATAAAGCAGGTTTAGTATCTTTTATGTCAGTGTCTTAAGAGACTGAAAAGAAAATAGCAGCCATCAGAAACCGGCCTTTCTGCCAATAAAATTTATGGTAAATATTTCATTACTGAATTTATGTTAGAGCTTTTATGCCAAGAATGTTTTCTCACAAAATTCTCTTTCTACTGAGGTTTCACTAATAAGCAGCTTCTACTTTTGAGCCCCAACTTAAAGCAGAACTGTTTTCTACTGAATTTTTCATTAATGGCAAACTTTTTCTTTTATGTAAAATAAATTTATTATGAATTGATATCAGTGACTCATTTATTAGGTATAATTAATAGCCAAAGAATAAAATTAAAATTTGTTTTTAGCTGTTAATTTAAAAAGAACTCTATGATATAAACCTCTTTCATGATTAATATGTTTCTGGATGTTTCCATAAACAAATGCAGTTATAACATGTTTACTTAGTTTTCTAACAGAAATTGAATGATTTCAATACTGTATCTTGATGGGTTATTTTTGGGGGGTGGGAGGGGTTGTTTTATTACACACTGCTAATTGGTTTATTTTAAATTTAAGAACTAGTCCTTAACAAGCATTACCATATTTCTCTGGTATATCTGCAGTTAAGATTCTAAAACATCTCGGACAAGCTCAGTTCAGTAAACAATGTTTTTAAGATTGTAAATTGGTTCAATTTAATGCTTAATCAGAATTGGCTATGTTAAGAACATACTGCAGTATAGTAAAGAGGATTTGTTCTTACTGAACAACAAATATTTTAAAAAATATGGACTAGTGCATCTACACTCATAATAAATTGTATATGAACAGAATGCACTTGGTTACTCTGAGCCTACTAATAAAATTTTGAAAATTTATTAATGAACTTAAGTTATCTTGACCAAGATCTGTAGTTATGAAACACACACAGAAATAATTAGTGACACACTAATTATTGGAGTCAGAAAATTGCTATTTGGACCATTGCTACGAATCAGTACATTGTTTCCATGTTAGGACTTCCGCTGTCATTCTCATTCATTCATTCATTCATTCATCAAACATTTGTTGAGGGCCAGACACTTTGCTGATCAACTGGGGATACTAATTTGAACAACATGCACGCAGTCTTTCCCCCTGCAGACTTTAAAGACCAGTGGAGGATACAGAAAAATAAGCAGTTGTTGCATAACAATTAGTGTCATGATAGCAGAAACATAGGGTACTGTGTTTGGGAACTCTGGGATTTGGGAAATGGGAGATGGTTTGGAAAGTAAGTATTTCAGGCACGGAAAAAGATGTGCCAAGCCTAGAGCCAAAAGAGTAGCACATTATGACAGCTAAAAGTAGTTCAGTCTGGTGTAAAGGTTCAGAAGTGCAAAGGTGTAGTTCATTTCTTCAGGGAATGTTAATGTATCAAAATTATATTTTGGTACTTTAAAAAATGAATAACAAAAGAATGTTTTAAAATAGTATTTTAAGCCTTCCTAAGAAGATGGTAAACATGTTGATAATTTAGTTCACAGTCAGACCTTAACAGTAATTGTTATCCTTTTATTTTGGTGCTCTGAGACAAATTCCTCAACAATTTTATAGTTGTACCAGGTGCTTCGAGTCACAATGAATTGCCGTACTATTAACCCAAAAGCTTCTCATACTGGGTTCTATAGTTAGCTATAGAACCAGTGAGCGAAGCTCTTTTCATCCCCAGAGGAAGTTCTACAGCCAGCCAAGAGTACCATCTATTATGTTCTATAAGTCCAAATTTAGGCTTTAAAAGATCATACAAAAAATTTAGGTCAACGTAAACAGCAACAATAAATCAGGTTTATAGGAAATAGAGTAGTAAAGAGGAAAGAGTATGCATACTGGAATGAAATGGTCCTGGGTTCAAATCCAGTCTTCCTCACATTGTGCTCTTTGAGCTTTGACTCAGATGATACATAAACTGCTGTCTCCTTATTAGTAAAATGGGGATAATAATTACACTACCTTAAAGTTATTGTGAGGTTTATATAGCAAATATTAGCTCGTAAGGTAATTTTTAGGGAAAGCCTTGACACAGTAGAAACATTCTGTAAATATCAGTTTCCCATGGTTAGCCCTTGTAGCTTCATGATCTACTGGAACTTGAGGCTCGTTTATGATAATACCAGAGATACCTCTTTCATATATATATAATCTCTTCTATTCCTTATCCATCTTATCCTACACCCTCTTTAAATGAGACTCAGATCTAGGTTTAACCTCACTACAGTCTGTAAATTTTTATCAGAAACTTCTGCTTTCCATTAAATGAATATTGATTATAGTAGCCTAATAATGTGCAGTAGCCTTTAATAATGTTAAGATTCAAAGGCTTCTTGCGCCTTTGTGTAACACAAATTTACCACAATATGTGGGTTTGTTTTTCTGTTTATTGATTTTTATTTTAATGGGGTTTTGTTTGGTTGGTCGGGGGGTTTTTCATTTACTTTGGCGTTGCTTATTTTATAAAAACATAGGTTTAATTTTTACTCAGGTAAGGGCCCATAAAGATTCTTAGGCGTGGAAGAAAAGTTTGGGAAGCCCATTCATGGTGCAATTAACAATTATTTAAGTAAGCTCTTAAGCTAAGATATGAGTAACATGTGAAGGATACACATATGAATGAAATAAACTTGGAAATAATTATAGACTCTCTCACAAACAGAAAAAAGTTACTGGATTTTCTCTGCATTTGTCCTCAAAGTAATCTAATTTAATTGTGGTGTTAAATCATTTTTAATGGTGCTAATCAGAAGAATTTATATAATAGGAAATTAGGCCCCAGAAATGGGAATGTGCCTCACTCCAAGTAACAGGAGAAATAAGAAACCTGAGACCAGGGTCACCGGTGGGTTGAGTCCATCCTTATAGCCTGCTGTTATTCTCCACCAGAACCAAAAAACAGAATGTGAATGGCGGAGCTGGTGTTGGGAGGACATTTCTCAGATAAACGGGGCAAGATGATGGAGCACAGGACAAGAAGCAGCATCTTCATTTACTTAAGCTCAGCTTACCTCCATGCTTCATTGACAGGATTCCTCAAAAATCTCTACCCTACCTCCCAAATGCCTGAAATTTTGAAATATGTTGCCCTAGTACATAGCACTTCAAGCCCAAGTGAGGAGCCATAATAGACGGCTTTGCAATTTGACTTACAGCCAGCTTTGCCTCCGCACCTCCAAATGGGTGACTTACCTCATGAGACTCAAAAGGGGAGAAGGGAGTTCTAAGAGCATACCTGCCCTTTCCTCCATTCTGTCCTAATTAGAAAGTCTACTTAGTAGGGCAGTGGTTCTCAGTGTGAGCCCCCAAGGTGGGCAATATCTGCATCACCTACGATGTTGTTAAAAATACTAATTTATATTTCCAAGTACTTTCTACCTTTATTTGTACTGATTTTTTTGTCTGCAAGGGGATATAGAACTAGTCTTAGTTCTTCCATGTAACATTTAAGAAAACATTTTAAGATAAAAACTACCTTCTGATCTTTACTTTCTAGTGCTAACCTAAATTATATATAGTTACTTTTATAATTTATTTGTTTCGTATATATCTGTCTCTATAATATAAGCTCCCTGAGATAGACTATCATTTTGATCCCAGTTAAATTTCCAACTCGTAGCATAAGACCTAGCACATAGTATGTACTCAATAAATACTTGTCAAATGAAAAAAAATGCAGTTCCTAAGCCTTACCGTTATCTACTGAACTAAACTCTGGGGATAGGGCCCAGAATCTGTTTTTACAAGCCATTTGGATAGTTATAAAGGTAGAGAACCTCTTCAGTAGAACAAAGAAAACTTGACTCTTACCTTCAAGCCTGTTATCTAACATCACTTGAGAAATTCCTGCCTTTTTTACCATCACTAACAACAGTGTTCTCTAGTGTAGAGGAACTTTTCTGGGCTATATTACAAGCAGGTGTGAGGGTACAGCATATGCTTAGTTAAGTAAGGGAAATATTGCTTAGAATACCAGTACTTGCTTGCTGTGGAGGGTTTCTAGGAATGGATTCCTTAGTCTGAAGAAGGGTGAGCACTTCTATCACCCACATTTCCATTCAGCACAGTGACAATTGGATATCAGAGCACTCTGACAAACCATTAAAGTAGTATCAGACTAACATGCACATCCCTGTTCCTCAGGTTACTAAGCTCCTCTCTCATTCCTGGTTCAAAGACTTTTTAAGAATTGTTCATGCTTTCTTAATAACAAGTCATAAATGTGTTGGTAAAAAGGAAAAAAATTAAAATATAGTTTAAAAGATTAAAATCACCGATAATACCACTATCCAGGGAGAACTGTTAGTTAGGTGTAAACCTTCCACACTCTGCTGTGCATTTATAGTTTTTTTTTTAAATGGGATCAACTTGTACATACTGTTTTGTAACTTTTTTTCACTTAACAAATACCACGACTATCCTGACATGTCATATGTATTACATATTTTTTAATGGCTGCATGGTATTCCATAATATGTGCCACATTTTATTAAACTGTTGATTTTTAGGTTTCCAATTTTTCACTAATAAACTGCTTTAAAGAACATTGTGTTAAATTTTTTATATGTTCTTAATATTTCCTTAAGATGAATACTTGGAAAATGGAATTGCTAGTGGAGAGAGTATGCCAGTTCTTAAAAGCTTTTGTTACTGCCACTTTGACTTCTAGAAGACTTATCAATTTACACTTTTTTATCAACAATGTATAAAAAAATTATTTCTTTTTGGAGGGCTTCCAGCTGAACATTCTTAGCCTTCTGTTCAAAAATAATCTATAAGAAGAAGATTAAAAAAAAACCCTGCAAAATTAAAAGCAAGCTCAGTCTTAAGTGACTCTGGCATTATTTACTGTTCTATCTTCTATTATGTATTTTGTGATACTTTGGGGATGTTTGTAGTACTAGCTTGCCCCTTGCTTTTTATTCAGTCTCAGGGAACCACTGTCCCCTTTCTGATTTTTGCTGAAACGGTTGAACAATCTTAAGTAGACTGGAATCTTGTGGTAATTTTGCTGCTGGCTTACTGCTGGCTTTAGGGAGCATGGCCATAATAGGGAAAGTAGAAACTTTGGAAAGTTGGCAGAACACTGGCTCTCCCACTTGGTTGCCTTGCTTTGTGTCAGCCAACCTCTTTGAGCCTATTTGCTTATCCCTAGAATGAGAATAATATAAGCCTACCTTGTAGGGTTGAAGTGATTAGCTGTATTATGGTAGGTAGGTAAATAACATTAGGATTTCTAGCTGAAGATGTTAGAGCAGTTGCTGTTAACCA